GCAGAGCTCCTAGGCCTTTGGAGTCATCTGATCCAACTCTGCCTTGTTAAAGCCGGGGGCTGAGACCAGAGAGGGCCAGGGACTTGCCTGAGCCACCAGCACAGGGGTGATAACGCTACACAGCAGTGGCATGTGTACGGGTACCACAGTCTGCGAGGCCATCTCACCCCCAGTGCCTCATTTAATCCTCACAGTGCCTATCTGGGCAGCCCCTAGAGTCCCTAATTTCCAGATGGCTAAGTCCATGAAGCTATGGAGTGAAAGAACCAGGATTGAACCCAGCTCTAGCTAAAGCCCAAATCCTGGACTCTCTCAGGGTTGCACTACATTGTGAATGTAATTAACAGCATTGAGTTGTATACTCAAAAATGGTTGAGATGGCAAATTTTATGTTATAAGTATATCTTATCACAATTTTAAAATATTAATAATGCAATGTACCAAAAGCCATTAATTGTACACTTTAATGGGAGAATTGTATGATATGTAAATTGTATCTCAATAAAGCTGTTTGAAAAAAAAAAAGGCTTGGGCTCTTAACCGGAACGCCCTGCAAACTCTTGTTTCAAGGAGCTCTGAGCATAGTGGGGGGAGCAGACGTCCTCTACATGGGGAAGGGGGAGCTCTGATGGGGAAGCTCAGGCTGCAGGGTCCCAAAGGGGTCCCTGAACCTACTGGTTGTCCCTGCAGGCTGCAGCCACACCCACCAAGTGCCCAGGCCCCCGCCCACGGGACATCCTGCTGCTGCAGACACCAAGGTTGAGATGGCTGCCCTGCCAGGGCGGAGGTGACACTGAGTGGGTTTTGAAGGATGAATAGGAGCCAAAGGCTGGAGAGGTTGAGGGAGAACTGGGAGTCTGGATAGAGGAACCGGTGTCTGCAAAGGCCTGGAGGTGTGAGCGGGAGGGGCTGGTGTGTGTAATCAAACCCTGCTGGCCAGCCCTGGAGAACCGTGTCAACTTCTGCTCGGGGGCCAAAACCAACAGAGGTGCAGCCGGCCCCTGGGCACCTTCCCTGCCGCCTTTCTCGCCTAACCTCCACCGTCACCTGGGGCCTTCTCAGTCCATCAGTCAACAGCCTAGATTTACTGGGTGACCGAGACTGAGCTCTGCACTGACAGCACCCTCCCTTCCTTCACACCTACCCAGGAAAGAAGCCCAGCGCCGCCCGCCCGAGAGGGCATCTGCTTCAGCCATGAAGGTGTCAGGAAGGGGCTTGGAGGGAGACCCGGGGCACGCCCCGCAGAAGTGCTGCCCTGTGGAGAGTGGGTGGGGCCGGCTGTGTGTGCACCATACGCAGGTGCGTGCGCGCCTGTGTGTGTGTGTGTCTGTGTGTGTGTGTGTCTGTGTGTGTGTGTGTGTGTCTCTGTGTGTGTCTGTGTATGTGTGTCTGTGTTTGTGTGTCTGTGTGTGTCTGTGTGTGTCTCTGTGTGTCTGTGTGTTTGTGTGTGCTTTCTGATCAGTGAGCTGGGGATCATGCATTCTACCGCACCTACATTAGAATCATCATTGCAAAGCCTCGAGGAGACCAGGAGTTGCCAGGGACTGGGGGAAGGGGGAACCAGGGATTGCCTTTTAGGGTGCTGAAAATGTTCTGAAACTAGATAGTGGTGCTGATTGCGCATTGTGAATACTAAATGTCACTAATGGTAGATTTTATGTTTTGTGTGTTTTAACACGATACATTTTTCAATGAATGGATTTGTGGGGAAAAAAAGCTGGGAGGACTACTGGGATATAAAATGGGGGGCAGTAAGAACTGTCATTCATTGAACACCCACTAAGCGCCAAATACAGGATCCAGACGGGTAAAGTGGTGCTGGGCTTGGGGGTAAGGGAACCGCGGGCCGAGTCAGCAACCTGGAGCTTAGGAGAAAGGGGTCTCCCTAGAACCAGCCGAAGGGCAGTAAGGCACAAAGAGAAGGGCCTCTCCCCAGAGATGCAGGCCACACAGCAATCCAGGGGGACAAAGGGACCTGTTGTTTTGCTGCCATCTCCAAACCCATTCCTGTTTGGGGGGAGTCTTGGCAAGAGGCAGGGCCCCAGGGCTGCCTAGCCCCCCTCCCCACACCCCACCCGCTCCCAGTACTGAGGGCGTGAGGAGGGGCTCAGCTCAGCACATCAGGCATCCTGGCCAGGGGCTTTGCACCTTGAAGGAGTGACCTCAGCCCTGCAGACACAGTGGAGAAATTCTTATGGGAGGTAGGTGGGGAAAACGTGGAAGAAGTGTGCAAATTTATTCATTCAGGAAATTTTTACTGGATGCTCATTATACATGAAGTACAGAGTGAATGAATGAGTGAGTGAGAAAAGCAGTGGGTGGGTGTGTGTGAGGGATCCCACCCTTGGTAAACCTCAGGAGGCTGCCAGGTGGGGCCGAGGGCCTGGCGGGGGACCCTGGGTGGGCACGTTGCGAGTGGGCCTGGCTGGGATCACAGGAATGTCCACTGGTTTTCTCTTTCAGAGGACAGGCGGGGGGTCTGGTCCCTGACAGGTCACCCGCCCCATAAAAGCCCTGATTTATGCTCCAGCCGCCTGCTGGCCCTGATGTCGTCTGTACCTTGTTTATTTATTTGTGAGAGTCAAGTTGGGTTCTGGCTCCTCAGCCCTCCTGTCTCCATGTGTTCTAACCCCACATGGTGAGGAAGACGGATGCCTTGGAATTATTTTGCATGAAATTGCCGCAGAAAGCTATTTGGCCTGCATTTGATTTCACCTCTTGTTACAGCATAATTTGCTATCCCGAAACGTGCGGCAGCTGCAGGCCTGGGAGAGCAGATGTTCCCAGGGAGGCGAGGGCTCCCCGGCAGGGACAGCGGCCCCGGGGAGCAACAGCAGAGCGCGGGCAGGCCTGATCCTGACCCCGCCAGTGCCCCAGTGGCTGCGGGAAGCCCATGGAGCCCCAGCTGGGCCTTGGTTTCCCTGTCTGTAAAATGGGGATAAGGCCACCTAATCCCTAGAGCTAAGGACTGAGTGAAGTGACTCACAGGGAGCACTCAGCACAGTGCCAGGCCCACAGGAAGCCTCTACAAATGTTGGCTATTGTTCTCGGGGGAAATGAGAGGTGTTAAAGAATGAGCACAAGTGAACTGGGGAAAGATGCATTTTCTGGCACAGCACAAGCAAAGACATGGAGGGCGCAACAGAACTATCCTTTGGGGCAGCTCAAACTGCCAGAGAGGCAGCAGTGAGGCAAACTGCTCCCACGGGCAGCAGTGGGAGAGGCTGCTGGGGCAGATGGTGGGACCGTTATGAAGGGGCTCAGATGCCAGGGCCACAGGGAGCCGGGAAAGAGTTGACAGCTGCGGAGGGACACCATTCCGCCACTACGGAGAGCGCCCGGCTGGGAGGGAGGCTGGGTCGAGTCTGCAGTCAGCCGTGAGGCCTTGTGCTAGGCTCCTAGCGCCGCCATAGCTCAGTACCGTGAGCCAGGTGGCTTCAAAGAGCAGATTTATTCTCCCAGTTCTGGAGGCTGGAAGTTGAGGTGTTGGCGGCAGTACACTTCCTCTCAAGGTTCTAGGGAAGATTTCTTGCCTCTTTCTAGCTTCTGACTGTGGCCAGCAATCCTTGACATTCCTTGGCTTGTAGCTGTATGACTCCAGTCTCTGCCTCTTGTCACATGGCCTTCTTCCACGTGTCTCTGTGTCTTCTCTTCTTATAAGGACATCAGTCACACTGAATTCAGGGCCCACCCTAAACCAGTATGACCTCAACTTAACTAATTATAGCTGAAAAGACCCTATTTCCATATAAGGTCACATTCACAGGTACTTAGGTTTAGGGTTTCAGCATATATATTGGGGGGATGAAACAATTCAACCCACGACAGGCCCTAATACTCTCTCTGTCCTCAGTCTCTCAGTTGCTGAGGAGTCCAGGACCCACTCAATGAGGACTGTTCCCTGCTTTTGGTATGGGAATCACAGTACTTGGGGGGGATGGCAAGCCCTGGGGGATAAGGGCAGAGTGAAGCCATAGCCAGGACAGGAGGAGAGGACTTCTGAGGCTGCTGGATGAGGGACACAGGATAAGGAGGTTGTGGCATCAGTGGGGAGGAAGGGTGGGAGGGCAGGGCCAGTGTGAGTGGCCCAGTGCCCAGAGGCAAGGGCATAAAAATGCCTGTGGAATGAAAAGAAATGTCCGCTCTTCCAGAACCAGGGGCCGGGTACCCCGTAAAACCCTGCCCTCCCACCCCTCCTCCCCACTGGTGCCAACCCTAGGTCCTTCTTAGCTCCCTCATCAGTGTCGGGGCCTGGTTTACCGGAAGCTGCCATTTCTCTTGGAAGCCAGCAGCAGGTCCAAATGTGAGCACAGACGCCGGCCGAGGGGCCCCACCTGAGCTTTGCTCGTGCCTACACCCGTGCCCCAGGAGGTGCTGGGGCCCTGCCGCCATCAGTTCAACGTGGCCCACACCATTCGTGCAGCTAATCCAGCAGCAGCGGTGCTGGCCTGGGCGCTGGGAGACAGCAAGCGCTCTGTGGATGTTTGTCTGACGGATGTAAACACAGGCCGGGGGCTGTTCTCCCCCATGGCCGGCTGCTGGTTCACAGGATGGAAATTCCATCTGCCTGGGTCTCCCAGGGAGGGCTGCTCAGCATCCTGGGAAGCTCATGGCCTCGGGGAGCCTGGAGCCCTAAGTTCATTGTTTGGCTCCTCCCTGTCGCAGCCTAGCCTGGGGCTGCTGTGGGACACCCAGTTCCTCCTGGAATCTCTATTTGGGTTTGGTTTGGGGTTGGAGTTTGTTTCCATTCAGGGCAACTTGATCCCAACCCAGCCTCCACACCCCCCACTGCCCCCAGCATTGCTGCCCCTCGGGAGGGGGCTTGCCTTTGCCCACATGCTGACGGGGCAGGCTCCTCCAGACCTCCCAGCAAGGGCACCGCGAGGTCCGGCTGGCTTTGATGTCCTGAAAGGAGCCCTCCCCCGGCCCCGGCCCTGGCCCCGGCCCCCTCTCCCTCAGTACTGACAAAGTCAGAGACTGCGAAGACCAAATGCCACCCTGTGGAGCGAAATGAGAAAGAAGAACAGGCTCAGGGAGACGGACTAGCTGGGGTCTAGACACCTCTTGACCAGTTCCTTACTGGGCGATCTAGAAGACACCCAACCTCTGGGGGAGGCAGCTAGAATGACAGCATGTCAAGTGGGAGAAGGCACAAATGACAGATGGACCAGATCACAGTCGCTTCCAATGCACAGTTGATTAATAGTCTTTGTTTTTAATGTGTGTTGTGTGCCTCTGGCCCACGCTGTGCTGTAGGTCAAAAAGTGGATACATTTTAGCCCTGCCCTAAGAGCACCCCAAGAATGATGCTCTCTGTACCTTACAGACGAGGACACGGAGGCTCCAGCAATGACATGAACACCCCATAGGAGGGTTTGCGGGCAGAGGTAGTTACCCAAGAAAGGCTTAACCGGAGGACTCATCTGTGCCCTTCCCTGGTGGGCCTGAGATCAGTGTCCTCAGCCCCTGCTTTTTCCCAGACACCTGCTCGTCCTGCCATTCACCTCCAAGTCCCATCAGGCCCCCAAAGCGTTCCAGAGAGCCGGGCACTGTTCAAGACTGTGAAGGCTTCACATCAAAAGAAAGCTTAGAACACTGATGAAATATAAGCCAGCAGCGTATTGATCATCTGAAATTATTGTGCCCTTGCTGTGACGAAACTGGAGGCCAGAGATGTTGAGTGGCTTGTCCAGGATCACAGCTGGGTCCGGCTCGGTCTGTCTGCCTCTAGAGCCCCCCTCCCTCCCACTGCTGAGGAAGTTTGGCTCAACCTCCCTGCCTCTCTCTCGCCTGCTGTGTGACCCTGGGCGGAGGGGTTTTCACGGATACTGCAGGAGAGGGACTCTTGGGCACAACCTAACATTTCTGGCACAGACACGCTGGGATGCTAGGATTCCAGATACGAAGATTCTGTGTTGTAGATGGAATCTCTGGTTTTAACATAACATACTACTAAGTTATCATTATTGTGGCTTTCTATGATTCAGTAATTGTAGGATTCTAGGATTACATCAGTCTACAATTCCATTATCCTGTGATTCCAAGATCCTAGAATTCTAAGTTCCCCTGAGAGCCTGGGCTCTAAAGAATAGGAAAATCCAGTTGGGAGGGTAAAGAGGCAGCTTTTCCATCGACTTTTCTAACAATGACAGAGCAATGTGTGGTTTTCATTGTGTTCGAAGGAAAGCAGTGGGCTTGGCTAAGCCACACCAGAGCCTCAGAGTGTGAGTTCACCTGCCTCGGGCAGAACAGCCTATGGAGCTGGCAGAGGCAGAGGAGGAGGGGGAGGGGAAGGAGGGGGAGAAGATGAAAAGGAAGAAAGGAGGAGGAGGTAGAAGAGGGGGAGGAAGAAGAGGAGAAGGAGAAGCAGGAGGAGAGGAGGAGGAGGGAAAGGAAGGGGAGGTAGGCAAGGCATCCTCCCAGTCTGAAGGTGGCCAGAACTCTGTCCTCACAGAGGGCCTGTGTTATGCCTGGCACTATACTGGCCACTGGTGCCCTGTGTCACCCTTCCCTGTCCCAAGCCAGGAGCGTCCAGCCAGGTGCAGAGACAGACAAGGCAGACAAAAACAGTATGGTGTTTGGATGAGAACAGGAGCTGGTGGTACAAATTAACTCTGTTGGAGTGTGCGGTCAGGGAGGGCTTCCAAGAGGAGGCAATATCTGCCTAGGGAGGTAAGAGCAGCAGATGGGCAAGGGAAGGGTGACCCAAGAGTCTGCGGAGCAACAACTGATTCCATGTTGCTGGGGCCTAAGGAGGGAGGTGGGAAGTGGCAAGAGATGGGGTGCAGAGCCCTCAGGACGCAGCGTTGCAGGACACAGTTATGCAGAGCTTGTGGAGTGCTGGGCTGAACTCCATACTGAGTGCAGTGAGTTTGAACTCCATACTGAGTGCAGTGAGCAACCATGTAGGTTTTTGTTGGTGGAGGGAAGTCACTGGGTGTCCTGAGAACATCACGGATGAGGGATCCTGAGACCATGGGGTCCAAACCTTTACCATACGGTTGAGGAGGTAAGACCCAGAGCAGAGGATTGCTCGCAGTCACCTGGCCGGCGCAGCAGCCAGAGCTAGGAAGACCTCCCAGCTCACCCCTACCAGTGGATTCCGGCACATGTGGCCCTGGCAAAACAGTGAGGGGCAATAAGAAGGAGTGGACTATTGATACGTACATGCAACCGCTTGAGTGGATCGCAGGGCATTTTGCTTAGTGAAAAAAAGCCAGTCTCAAAAGGTTACATACTGTAGGATTCCATTTGTCTAACGTTCTTAAGTGATAAAATTACAGAGATGGCGAATGGATTCGTGGCGGCTGGGGATTGGGGACGGGCACGCTGGATGGCAGGAATCTGGCAGCACAGGTGGGACCACCAGGGCCCCAGCAGGGTGGGGACAGTGAGGGCTGGAAGGGACCACAGAGGGCCGGTGTGTGGGCAGAGGGTGTGGCTCAAAGGAGTAGCATGAGAGGGACCCTCGTGGCGAGGGATAGTTCTGCACCTTGCTCGACTGCAGTGGCGGCTGTGTGAATCACTGCATGTGTGATAAAATGACACAGAGGCATATACACACGTTGTACCCGAGTGTGTATCCTGGCTTTGATATTGTCCTCTAATTATCTAAGATGTGACTGTCGATGGAAACAGGGTGAGGGGCACACAGGACTTTTCTGTACTATCTTTACAACTCCTTATAAACCTATAATTATTTCAAAATAAAGGTTCTTAAAGACTCAAGTGGCCGTACTGTGCCAGTCTATTTGCAGACTCTTTTCGGTCCTGTCGATGTATGTCTGTCCTACCTTCAGCTCCAGAAGTCTTCAATCAAGTAGGTGCTTCCTCCCTTTTATTATTCCTTTTCAAAATAGTTTTATTCTAGCTCCTTTGCCTTTCCATATACATTTTAGAATAATGTTGTTTATATCTAGAATAAAATTTGGCTCAGATTTGATAGGAATTGAGTTGAACTGATAGATCACCTTCTGTGAATCTATAATTATTTTAAAATAAAAACTTAAAAAAACTTTTTAAAAGATACAGAGAGGACCGTGGGGGTAGAGGGAGGAAGGAGGGAGGTGCTGATGTGTATTCCGAGGGGCGCGCAGCCCGGATCGACAGACAACCTGGGCAGGGGGAGAGCAGGTATGAAAATGGCTTTTGTACTGTTTTCACGGTTTGCAGTGCTCGGGGCTCCGTCATCTACTGCTCCATGTTTTCCTGGTAATGTGGCACCGTGTGCGCAGCCTCACTCTCCTACCTGCATCCTGCCTTCGTGCAGGCGTCGCTGTGCCACTGGTGCGCTGGGTCAGGGCAGCCTCAGCGTGCAGCCACCCCGGCCCGCAGCGCCCTTCCCAGAGGCTCTGCTGGCCTAGCCTTCCCGGGGGCTTCACGGAAACCAGTTCCTGGAAAAGAGAAGCAGCAGATAAGAGAGGCTGGCCCCCTGTGCTCACTGCCTCGCTGTTCTAGCTGTCCCCGCCACTGTCCCCACCCTTCTGGACACCTGGCTGCTCCTCATGGTCCTGCTCATGGTGCCAGGTTCCTTCCATCCCGCCTGGCTACCTACCGGGCTGTCTTGGAGGCAGAGGCTGTCACAGCCCTGAGCCTGGGGCCTTCCAGACTCAGCTGCCCATCGCGCTTCGGATCACAGGAGCAGCACCCTCCAAGCTCAGCATAGCTACCAACGTCTCCCTGAGACAGGATGCAGTCAAACCTGGGCCCTCTGGCATACCCCACCTGCAGGAGTGGGTGGCTTTCCCAGTCCTCAGTCCCCTGCCAGAGCACCAGGGTGTTTGAGGAGGTCACCCCTCCCCCAGCCCCCTGGGCTGCCTGGGGAGCCCCTCGGGGTTAACAGAGGGAAGAGCGGTGGGAGTTAGTGGACTACAGATTGGCACTGCTCGCCATCACAGGCGGTGGAGCGTGATGGGATGCTGCTGCTTGCATCCCTTAGCCAGGATGTCCCCAATAAAAGACGGGACCCAAGGGACAACACACTTGGCCAAGCTTCAGGCAGTTGTCTTAGCACCAGACACCCTGCTCCGCAAGTGCTCTCACCTTCACGTTCATTATAAACCATTGAGCCGTTACCGAACCATTGTCCTCCTCAGGAGGAAGAACACTGGTAATCTCCTGCCTCACAGACACCGAAGTATAAATCCAAATCTCACATCTCTACGTACACTGAAGTCACAACACAGGCCTCACTGGCTCACTCCTTATTCCCTCTGGAGTTACAGACGTTACTAGTGGTAAGCAAGACACACATTTCATGTCTCAATATACACATTGCTGAGCTCTTGGAAAAGGCTTTTAATAGAACTATCATGTCTGATTAGTCCCAGATAACCAGTTTAATTGAAAGACATAATGGCCCCCTCAAAGAACCCCTTTTAAAATTCTAATCTGGCAAATAAACCCCTAAAATGGGTCTCTATCTTGCCCCAGGCCTTAACCTATCTTTAAACATTTTCCATCTTGTTCCCATCCCATAAGGGCTGGAGGCCACCAGAGGATGCATACTCTCCTGGGACCCATGTCAAACAGATTGTCCCACAGGCCAGGCAGCTGCTCGCCTGACAGGGGACCCATTTGAACCTAAACTTCCACCGAAACCAACAACAAAAAACTATCAAGTGCAGCTACACACCACTCTGGTGACAGTGGTCTTGTTACCACTGGTTTGGGTGCTTTCATTCATTTGCAGTCTGGAGGCCCAAACTCCCCAAACAAACTATCGTTTCAGCCAAACATGGTATTAACAAATCCTGAAGCCCACATCAAACCCAAGTGGGCACCTGCTGGGAAAGGAAATCCCAATCCCACATCCCAGGAGACACTGTCCTGGCCCAGAAGCTCATCCCTGGAGATGACATCGCCTCAGATGACATCACCCCAACCCAAGACCTCATCGTTGGAGCTGACCTCACCCCTGCACTGGAGACAACTTCATCCGAGACACTCAGAAACCTCTATACATTCAAATCCCTCCGGTAATAACCAAGACCTCCTGCCTCTCACTCCACGCCGCCTGTCCATTCTGGGTGGACCCCTTTTGCACTGATCTCTGTGCTGGCCACACTGGTGCTGGGCAGCTTCTGGCCACTCAGCAGGGCTCTCAGCCTTCCCCAAATGCCTCCTGTCTGTCTGCATTCCACATAGCTGGGCCTCCTAGTGCCCACCTCTCTGACTCCTGGACCTGGGTCACCAGACTTGTTGGGGTCCAAAGCAGATGGCCACAGAACCTTTTGGCCACTTCTACCCTCCATGTGAAGTGGTGTATTCTCCTACAAGAAGATGGGACAGAGCTTATCTGAGAGGACTTCACCCAGGTCTACAGCAACTGCTCATTTGTCCCAGCCCATCTGTCTCTTGGAAATGACCTGACTCAACTATACAGCGATTCTGTAAAGGTACCAGAGTCTGAACATGATGGATAATCCCACCCTACCCGTGCCACTCTTTTAAGGAGACTTACTGGGAACAAAGCTGGGGAAGCAGCTCTACTGGTGAAATTTTAGCCACTGGGGCAGGCCAGAGGAGAAGACACTTTTTAGCCTAACAAGTCACCAATACTCCTGAAATCACTTAATAGCTATATGTCAGTCATGGGCAGGACTTCAAAGCACATCTCCACCCATGATCTCATTGAAATCTTCCAACACATTTTAACAAAAGCAGACATGAATTTTCCTACCTCATGGAGACTGAGGCCCAGGGATCTGTAGGAACTCGTGCACTGTCCTGCAACAAATATGGATTAGTGATGGGGATAGGGAAAAACCATGGGTGGATGGACCCAGATCAAAATCACGGTCCTGGATGGTTCTGAACTAGTCACTTCACCTTGCTGGGCCTCTTCCTCTGTAAAACGAGGGTAGTGATGCCCATGTCACAGGGCTGTTTGGTGGATCAAATCAGAATATGTTTGTAAAATACTTGACTTGTTTCCTGGTTGCTTTGGAAGGACTGTCGTTCTGAGAACCCAGCTTCCCTCAGAGCATCTACACTTGCTACTTAGGTAGCTGGCTAGAGTAGGAGGGGACTGGGAAACCCCTGTGCCTTCCAGTTCTGCTAATGAGAACTCCTGGCAGCCAGGTGACCAGTGATGTCACGCTGGAGGTCACCAGATGCCCTCCTCTCACACTGGTCACGGCTGGGCCCCAGGACTTAGTTCTGTGCCCAGGGTGCAGCAGCCTCTTCTAAGGGCTGCCTCTCTCTCTCCATGGCTGGGCCTTAGCATCCTGCTCCAGCTGATGTCACAATCCAGCTTCAAGTCCCTGCAGATTGTGGTCCCTCAGCCCTTGCATATAGATCCTGGACCTGCTGTAGGGTCCAAGATAAGTTTTTAAAACTCTCTGAGCCTCAGTTCCCTTACCATTAGAATAGGAAGTATAAAACTTAGCTTCACGGTTGTGAGATTTAAATGAGAGAATACATGGAGAATGACTTAGCTCAGTAACTGGAACATTATAAGCACTAAAGTGTTATCATTGACGACTGGGCACTCAGTGAAGTTTTGCTGAATGGATGAACATCCCTGTACCCATCCCTGTTAGGTCACCCTTTTACAGAAGAGGAAAACTGAAGGCCAGGCAAAGGAAATGACTGGCTCGCACTAGTGGCTAGGATCTTGAATGTTCAGAAGTCAAATCTCTGGCCCAATCTTTCCCAGTCTTTGTTCCTTCCAAGGAGGCCCTTTCTGATTGGATTCTGGGGATACTTTTGGTCTCTCTGCCCATTTGACAAATCCCAGAGAGTGTCTGGATCCACCCACACAGCTGTGAATGGACAGAGGAGAGTAGACACAAGTCCTGGTCCTGTTCCAGCTCGTCCCCAATTCTGGATGTTCCAGAAGCCACACCCTGTCCCCAAGCCTCTCTTGAAACCTTGGCAGCTTTATTTGCAAAGGGGAGGAGAAGGGGGTCTGGGGTCAGCTAGGGAATAACAGGGGGAGGAAGAAAGCAGGTCAGGGAGGGATGGAGAACACCCCATGTGACCTCAGCCATAGCCCATGAGCACTAGCTGTCCTCCCAGACTGTAGATAGCCAGCGAGAACTGGCATGCAGCCTCGACTCTGTTCTGAATCTGCAGGGTGACCTTGGGTAAACCATTTCTCCTTTCTGGGCCTCGGTTTCCCTGTCTGTGAAATGGGGAGTTGAACTAGGGCAGGGGTCCTCTGTCCACTGGTAGGAAGCAGGGTTTCCAGAATGAAGCCTGTGACCTCCCTGCCCTGTGGGCCCCCGCCCTCCTGCAAGTGTCCAGGAATTTGGCCGTGGCATTTCATTTATCATCCTATGGTTCACAGGTACTGTGGCCGGCAGGCTGATTACTCAACAGGCTCATTACACTCCTCAGTGACTAACAGACTCTTTTTCTGTTTGTGTTCTAAAGCCATAGCAATAACACTGGCTCTCAATAACTCCACTGAAATCACTATTATTCAGCCTGCCCCTACCTACATGATAAACAGAGCAGCAGAAACAGCCTTCCTTAGAAAAAGAGGCCTCTGCTTCGCTCACGGTGGGACAGTCTGTTTGGTAATGAAGCTGTGTGTGTCGGGGGTGGGGTGGATTTATGAACTGTTGAGAATCATAGCATTAGGTCACTTCTCTGGTGCCTTCCAGCTCTGACCTACACATTGGACTTCACCAAAGGGAGGGGTGGAACAGATACCATCTTCCCTCTGAAAGTTTGAGTGAGGGGTTAAGAGCCTGGCTGGAAGTCAGAGAGTCTGGCTTTTGGTCCTGGCTCCACCACTTGCTAGCTGGGTGACCTGGGACAAGTCAGATCCTCTCTCTGGGCTTGGCTTCCTACCTTAAAAATGGGGAAAATGAGATGACCTCCCCCTGGAGGTGGGAGGTGGAGAGAAGGAAGTAATGCACGAGAAGCACTTGGCACAGGGTGGGGCTCCAGTGCTGGGCGTGTTACTGTCACGTAAATGCAGCCGAGCCCCTGGGCCACAGGCTGGAGCTCCACAGGATGGGGAGGGAGGGACTGACACCAGGGGGGACTGGAGACTTGGTGGGGGGTTAAAACCTCCAGGAGGGCAAGTCAAGGGCTGGTCGCTGTCAAAGCCACCTGGCCTCTCCTTTCCTGGCCAGTTTTATATGTCAAAACTACAAGGAACAAAATAATAATATAATAATAACAAAAAAACCTGCTACTTGCTAAATTCTTTTTTTCTTTTTTTTGAGACAGAGTCTTGCTCTGCTGCCTGGGCTAGAGTGCTGTGGCGTCAGCCTAGCTCACAGCAACCTCAAATTCCTGGGCTCAAGCAATCCTATTGCTTCAGCCTCCCTAGTAGCTGGGACTACAGGCATGTGCCACCATGCCTGGCTAATTTTTTCTATATATTTTTAGTTGTCCAGATAATTTATTTCTATTTTTAAGTAGAGACACAGTCTCACTCTTGCTCAGGCTGGTCTCAAACTCCTGACCTTGAGCAATCCTCCTGCCTCGATCTCGATCTCGCAGAGTGTTAGGATTTCAGTCGTGAGCCACCTCGCTAAATTCTTCAGAGGGAGGGAGCAGGGGCTGCCTTTGATCCAGCTCCCCCTCCTCGTGTGGGGGGTACAGCAGAATCTTCCATGGTTGTTGGACTCCCCCTTCACTAGCCCCTCCCCAAGGATTCAAAGCTCTCAGCTCTGTTAGGAGCCCACTTCTCACTTGCTGTAGACAGGAGGACTTTGCCTCCATAACCATCAGTGTCTCCTTTCCCTCTGTGTGGTTCTCCGTGCTGTGGGGCCAACGCCCCCTTGCTGTGCTGAATGGTCTTCACAGGTAATATAGCCTGCCTCTACACAACAAAAAATGCCAGGGTAACCAGTGTGAGCTGGTAAATGTTTACAAGTCATCTCTCTGAAGGAAAAAAAAACTTAATCTCTATCATTTGCCAATTTCCATGGTGTAAATACTTCCATCATGGCTGATTTCAAACTACCAACGTGACGACACAGAGCGCAGTCAGGAAGAAATGCACACAATCTGCTCCGTGTGACTTGGCTCCGGCACAACACTGAGTGACACTGAAATGAAATCCATGGAAAGTAACTTACAATGATAATAAAAACATCTATTGGCCAGGCTCAGTGACTCACGCCTGTAATCCTAGCGCTTTGGGACGCTGAGATGGGAAGATTGCTTGAGGCCAGGAGTTTGAGACCAGCCTGGGCAACATAGTGAGACCCTGCCTCTATAAAAAATAGAAAAATTAGCCAGGTGTGGTGGTATGTGCCTATAGTCTCAGCTACTTAGGAGCCTGAGGCAGGAGGATCACTTGAGCACCGGAGTTTGAGGTTGCGCTGAGCTATGACGACACCACTGCACTCCAGCCCAGGCTACAGCGTGAACCCTGTCTCAAAAAATAAAAAATGCCCATTTTACTATTTTCGTGCTCGGGGCCAACTACCCTAGAAGACATATTAGAAGGGTCTGTGTGTAGGCTCACCTTGATTGTAACTGCTGTGTGTGCAGACTGGCCAGGTGTCCCACATCAGTGCTTGAACATCATGAGAAGTGTTGACATCGGTGACATAATTTTGTTAAATGGTGAATCAGTCTCAATCATGTTCTGAACAAAGGACAATCTTCCTTCAATTTGCAAACTAGTCATAGTCCTGGAGAATTCAGAGTATGTTAGAATCATGCTAAAAAAATGTGCTTATACATAAAACAGTTAGGTTAAAGCCACAGGTAATTATAAACAGGCTTTTCATTCACCCAAATGTCCCCAAGACTTTCAACTGTCCCCACTCACTAAATGCCAGTGGAGACTCCAATCACTGTGACATCTAAAACCCACTCCCACAAATTTTCAGTACGCTCCTCAGTTTGGTACTTGGCACCTACTGAGACCCACTGCCCCAAAGGTGCCCCCTTCACCCGAGGACAGCCACTCTCTGAGCCCTACCATGTTTGAGCTTTGCTAATTTGTTCGTGCAGTTCCTTCCGCCTGGAATTCTATCTTCCAAATTCTGGCCTAGAGTCTAGTCACCCATCCACCCATTCATCCGTCCGTCTTGTCTGTCCCAGCCCAGTACAGGGACTAAGGGCTCAGGATGAAGCCGACCTGACCCCTGTCCTCCAGGAGTTCCCAAGTGAGGAGAGTCAGGGGCACTGCTAGACATCATGGGCAATGGCAAGCAGTGTGCCGAATCAGATGACAGATGTGGTGTCTTTGGCCACAAGCTTTGGTGTAGCTTACAGGTAGGAGAACTAGTTTTGGTCTTGAGCACTTGAGTTTGATCCCTACCTGAGCAGGTACTTACTGTGTGATCTCAACAGAGTGGCTTCAATCTCCGGGCTTTAGTTTTCTCAGCTATAAGATCTGGAGAGGTAAAAAACTCAATGCCCCAGGGCTGCTGTGCCTATAAATTGGGACAAAGATCATGATGGGCCCACATGCCCTGGCACGGGGCTCAGAGAATCAGAAATGGCCAGTCACTGGCTCCTTCCTAGTGGCCCCGTGTGGCCAGCAGCTGACTCTTGAGGGTAAAGGGGCTGCTCTGTGGCAACCAGGTTGGGCAGAGTTCTGCTGATGGGACAATTTGTGGATTGTCCTGGGCTTCCCAGACCAAGATTCGGAATTAACTTCCAGGGCTGGCCCAGTGTCCTCACTGTCCCCTTGTCTGGCTAGAGTGACCCCATGTTGGGCGGGATGGTGGCTAGGTAAGGGCGGGCTTGTGAGTCAGTCGCCACTCAGAGGCCCTCTGGGGCCGCCACTCACCACGCTGAGCCCCTGCTCTGGGCCAGCCCTGAGCGGACAGGAAGATGAGCAGGCAGCCCTGACCCCAAGAAGCTCCCAGCCCGGTGGGGAGGGCAAACACATCACCACCCTCCCTGTCCTCCCAGCCTGTCCACGTCCCTCGCCGGCAACTTCCATATTACGGGATGGCTATCGGCCAGCTTCAGTCCCTGTCACCCACCACCTCTCGATGCCCCCGGCCCCCTGACCCCTCTCCCCTCGGCCCTGTGGCAGCCTCCAACGCCCTCCTCCGGAGGAAGGCCCGCTCTGCTCCTTCTCGTCCGCTACAGCACGCCACCCTGGGGAGGAGGAAATCGCCCCGCTTCCCTGTCTCCCCCCAGCCCCGTGTGCTCCCCGGCCCGGCCTACAAAATAGCAAACAGCTGCTGTGACCATGGGCTGCCCAGACCCCAGGGGCCGGGGGGAAGCGGGCCAAGGAGAACTAGGAGAAAGAGCTCTTAATAACATACCTTCCCCTAGCTGCTTCCAAAGAAACTTCTGCTCACAAATCATTCCATAAACACTTAGCAGGCTCTCAGGAAAGCGTGCACAGCTCTCACCCGGCTATTAGGAGGCTCCTCACAAGTAAATTGAGACCAGGCAGCGGAGGCCGGTGCCAAGTCCCCCTTCCTGCCCTCTTCCCACACGGCATCCTCCTCCCCCACCCTAGGCCCTTCAGCTCCAAGGGCCGGGGTCTGCTCCCCGGCCTGTCCACTAGCTCTGGCCCTCTCCCTGCTGGGCAGAGGGTGCCCTGTTTCCCTGGAAACCAGCCCCCTCCCCACCCAGGAGCCCGGCTTTCCAGAGAGCTCTCGTGGGCTGCTGTGTAGGCCCGAATCCCCTGAGACTTCCGAGGGCCACAGCACCAGGCCAGGCGTGGACAGACTGGGCCGGCCCACACCCCCGCTCCGTCCCAGCCACCCCTCAGCCGAGGCTGCTGGTGCCTCTCAGGCTGGGGCTGTCGATAGGGAAATAACTCCAGGTTCATCCAAGTCACGAGCTGGAAAATCCCTCCCATCCAACGATCCCCCCCGAGGGACAGCGTTGCGCAACTCACTCAGCTGCTAATATCCAGATCTTGGCTAATATCCAGCATGGATCGGGGAGTGACTTGATTGTTCGTGAGTTGACACATTTGGTTATAGGTTCGCAGCTTGCTCATGTAACGACTTTCATTGGCGTCTTTGAGAACAATAGTAGGGCTGGCACCCCAGCAGAGTTCATTGTGATTGGCTTTGGAAGACGCTTCCAGAATGACTGCCCCTTTTTCTAGGCTTATCCAATATCATTTTGAAGAACAAAAGGCTCTATTGTAAACAGAAATCATCAGTGAAATAAATAAAGCATTCAGATGAAAATAAACACGCAGATTTGTGGGCACTGAAATTAGCAGTGGATGGGCTTTGAGCGGCAGGCCCTGGGCACAGAGCTCGGGCCCAGTCCCAGCTCAACACTGATTGGAAGGCGGATCGTGGGGCCCCTGCCTGCCTCAGCTCTGCGATTCTGAAATGGGTGGGACCCACCTACCTCCCCTCACTCCACCACCTCTGCCGCCTCTCCACATGTGGTCACTGGAGGCCTCCCAGGGCACCCAGAGGCTGGGGCCTTGCCATGGCACCAGGCTGCCCACTGCAGGAGTGCAGTGACAGGGCACTCATTCAGTCCTTCAGCAAATATTAGGAAGCCTCCTCTGCACACAAGGCACCGAGTAAGACACTGACCACGACAGACACAGGCCTGCCCCTTGAGGAGCGAACAGAAGGGGATGAGCACAAAGGGGTGAGTAGTGAGTCACACCATCCCTGAGTCCAAGGATGGGACATTTCCTTCCGCAAGGCAGGGATCAGACTCCAGGCTCTAAGCCACAGGGAAACAGACACCCAGGCCCGAGGTATGGGGGCCTGAGAGGCATCGGGCTTCTGGCGTGCTGGCTGCAGTGGGAGAAAGCATGGAAGGAGGAGTGGAGTCTAGACCTGGGCCCACTATGATGAGGATGACGATGATGATGGTGGTGACAATGACAATGATGATGATGACGACGATGATAGCTTCCAGTCCCGGGGCGCCTCCTCAGTGCCAAACACCGTGCTTTACGGTCATTATCGATAGTTCCCATCACAACTCGGTAACTGACACGGGGCACTGAAGTTCAGAAAGGTGATGTGAGTTGCCCAATGTCACACATCTTGGAAACAGAAAGAGCAAAACGGAAGCCCAGGGCTGTCTGATTTCAAGAAAAGATGACAGCAGACCCCTTCCCCAGACCCAAACCAGAGGAGTCACCTCTGGAAGCTGAGCAAAGTGGGCGCCACTTCACTGCGTGCGACCTGTGGGACTCAGGACAGACCCTGCAGCCTCCCCCAAGGCCATGTCCTCAGATGTCAGGGCCCTGAATCTCCCCCATCGGTGCCCTGCCCCTCCGCGCCTCACATGGTCTTCCTCAAACACCTCGGTCCCCTACATATCCCTGGGGGGACAGGGACCCTCCCTCAAATAGAAGACGAATCGAAGACTCAGCTACTGAGTCCAGAGTCTCTAGCCGACTTACATCCTTTTCCTTCAGAGTTAGACGTGTCCTTGCAACCTGGGGCCGAGTGAAAATCTCCCAACATTCCACTGCCCCGCAGTGTGGGAGAGCGAGCAGGGTGACCACGGCAACGACTCCTACTTGGCAGAGGGAAGGAAGGAAAGCAACACATAGCGCTGACCAGTTCCTCATGAATGGGGGTAGCGAGTCTCCCCGTCCTGGAGGAATGAGTGACTTGAATGCAGCGGTGGGAAGAACATTCTCCTGCCCCAAGGATGTCCACCCCCTGATCCCTGGAACCTGCGAATGTGCTATGGTAAATGGCAAAGGGGAAGTAATATCACAGATGGAATTAGGGCTGCTAATCAGCTGGCCTTAAAATGGGAACATAATCCTGGCCTACCTGGATGAGGCCGCTGTACTCACAGGGTCCCCGGAAGCAGAAGAGGGAGGCAGAAGGGTCGATGTCAGAGGGATCGGAAGCAAGAAAGGCTCAGCCTGCCCTTGCCAGCTCTGAAGAGGGAGGGGGCCACGAGCCAAGGAACTCGGGCAGCCTCTAGAACTGGAAAAGGCGAGGGAATGGACTCCCCCAGAGCCTCCAGAAAGGACTGCAGCCCTGCTGTCACCTTGGTTGTAGCTCAGCGGGACCCATGTTGGATTTCTGGCCGACAGAATTGTAAGATAATAAATCTGTGTTGTTTAAGCCCCCAAATTTGTGGTAATTTGTTACAGCGGCTGTAGAGAATCAAAACAGAAACCAAAGCAACCAATTCCACTACCGCAGTACCTCTCTGGGTCCTATTTTTATGCCTCTGGCTGGGCATCAAACAGATATTGAACTTTGGCCCCCCTAACAATCTTGGGAGAAGGTGCGATCATCCTTAGGTTACAGGCGAGAAAACTGGAACCTGAGTAACAGCCAACTTATCCAAAGTCAACCAGCTGGTAGGAGGGGGAGCCCAGACACAAACTCTCTCCTGTCTGGCCTTGAGCCTTGCCCAGTGGACTTCTCCTCTCTGCCTGAGCCTTCAGCGACAGGGGTCATGTGCTGCAAAGCTTCCTGGCCTCGCTGCCTCCTCGTGGCCCCACTCCCTGCGGGCCGTGGTGTATGGGACAGCCCAGTGCCTGGCGGCTAGAATGCTGGTCGCTGGGCCAGCCCGCAGGCAATGGGTCCAGGCTGCAGCTGCCTTGATAGTGGGCCGAAGCTGAGCTTCCCCACTCTTCGGGGAGCCGGTTCTTTTTACCAAAATCTAGAGTTCTGCTCTCCCCTCCTGTCTCCAGCCTCCGTGCCCCTGAGCTGAATTGCGAAGGTATTGGAATGCATCGCTTTGTACTCAATGGAGGAAATGAGCGGGGCTTTGTCTTTCAAGATTTATTCCTCTCTCTGTTGTCACCTCCGCTCCCATCTGATCCAGGAATGTCCCAGGGGTGGCCAAGGTGAGGAAGGGCAAATCTAGCTCCTCCGATTTCTTCCTGACAAATGTAAAATGGGTTGGGAGGCCACAGGGGAGGTAAATAGATCCCTAAAAGTGCCTCGTGTGCAATTTGGGGCTGAGAGTAAGTTCACAGAGAGATAGGGCTCCGCCAGCACCCCCAGGGGCTGGCCTGGCCAGCTGGCAGCCAAAACACAGCCGCCTCCCTCCTCCCCCCACACGTGGAGGCCCAGGCCCAGCCCCCTGACTGAGTGGGAACAGTCCAGGCTCCCAGAGCCCAGACCCCAGAACCTAAACAGAGACTCCAGAAGTCAGATGAGACTCAAGGGAACATCTAATCTGCCCTCTTCATTGGCTCAGAGAAGGGAGGTGACTTTCCTAAGGTCACACAGCAAAGCCAAGACTACTGCCTCATCCAGCCTCAGTTTCCCAGGGGTAAAATGCAGGCCTGTTGAGAAGCTCCAATGAGGCAGAAATTGCTGAGCGAATGCGAGAGGGCAATGCTAACAGCCCACCATGGACCGGGCACACGCTGCGTGCCACACGCTGTGCTGAATGCTCCACGAGCCTCATCTCATTTCATCCTCACGACACTCTGCGAAGTCGGTCCACACATTTTAAAGATGGAGGAGCTGAGGCTCAGGAAGGGCACTTTTCAGGGGAATAAAAATCGATATTGTAACGTGGGTAAAAGTTACACGGGTATTATGTATGGGAATAATTGAATTGTGCACATAATATTGGTGCAGTTCACTCTCTGTCAATTTTACAAAATGCTGTGAAACTGAGGCTCAGAGAGGGTACGTGACTTCTTCAAGATCACACAGCTGCTGAGTGGCAAAGCTGGTCTTTCCACTGGCTTTGTCTGGCTACAGAGCCCACCGTCACCACCTCTTTCCACACTGTCATGTCACATGTCAGCGCCACAGTGATGCTTTCCACATTTCAAGTTTGTTCCACCTGCTGAACCCAGACCCAGGGGAGTGACTGGCAGGCCTGGGAGGCTCTGCGGAGAGGTCTGGGTGCAGGCAAAGGGCAGGCACAGGCTGGACCGAGGCTCCCCAGGCCCTCAGTTGGTCCCCTGTGCAGTGCGTAACCTGAACAGCTGTGGATGGTCCTAGTGGGGGGTCTCAGGGTGGGCAGAGGGGATGCCACCCACATTGTGGGCTTTGGCCAGGTGAGGGGGGAAATGCCCTTTCTGACCCACATGGGCATTTCTGATGTCCCCCATCTGTCTGGGGCTTGAGGGGCTTCTTCTTTGGGTGCAAGCCCTGAACAGGGTCCTCAGCTGCAGGGCACACACAGGAGGTCACTCAGTCACTCGGCAAATGCTTGTTGAGGGTTCTCTCTGTGGCAGACCCTGTCCTGGGCTCTGGGGACAGAGACATCAGACCGAGTCCCTGCCCTGGAGCAGTCCCTGGGAAGTACAGGAGATGCAAGAAGAGATAAATGACTAAAAGCAGGGAAGCTGGCACCTTTACACATACACAAAAGGTGCTCCTTCCTCAGAGCAGAAAATTGTCTTAATACACCTAGACTGGTATAGCGGCAACCCGCCAGCTGAGTGGCCCTCCGTGTCCCAGGTCTCCAGGCCCAAAGCTGGTGGAGGTCTCTCGGGGGCTCCGAAGCTGTGCTTTCCTGCAGCTCCATGCAGGCCCGGCCCCCTCCCTGCAGCTGACACCCTCTCCTGCACTGGCTTCTACACCCCACCCCCACCCCGCCGGCTTCCGTCTGGGCCTCCTTGCCTCCCCAGCATAGGCAGGCGGTGCGGGATGGGGACTCCTAAGGCCCCTGCCTGCCCGGGACAGTCTGGGTTCTCTGCGTGAGAGTGTGTGCAGACCTGGCCCTAGAGCCAGGGCAATGGTCCTTGAAGCACACAAGAGCATTCCTCGTCAATGTGACGTGACCACAGGGGTCACTTGGAAAGGTTGGGACAAACGGGTCATGGGAGAGAACAGGAGCATAGCAGGAGCCCCTCCCACCTGCACAGTGGTTTGCCCTGTACAGAGCCCGTTTCCACGCCTCGGCTTCCCGAAAGACCCAATGAAATGAACGGGTGAGGCAAAGGAGGGTCAGAGAGCTCAAGTTGCTTGCCCAAAGTCACACAGCCACGCTGCAGCCTGGCTGAGCCTGCATGCCAGTCTGCCCCTCTGTCCCAAGCCTCCTTCGCCACCCACAGCCCCTCCTGGCTCACACGGGTGGGCTCCAGGAGGCAGAGGGCCTGGCCGCCCAGCTGGGCCCCACAAGCGCACTGAGCCGTTAGAGTTGGCGTTGACGATGGAGCTGCCGGAGCTGAGCTGCCGTCTGCCGGG